GTGTAACAAGGCCAACGACCCCGTGGGGAGGGCGGCGGGGGGGGGCAGGAGAAGGAAAAAATCCAGAGCCTCCGGAGAATCCGAATCATGGGCGAAAAAAATGAGGAAAAATAGAAATATTAATCTAATATTAATCTAATATTAATCTAATATTAATCTAATATTAATCTAATATTAATCTAATATTAATCTAATATTAATCTAATATTAATCTAATATTAATCTAATATTAATCTAATATTAATCTAATATTAATCTAATATTAATCTAATATTAATCTAATATTAATCTAATATTAATCTAATATTAATCTAATATTAATCTAATATTAATCTAATATTAATCTAATATTAATCTAATATTAATCTAATATTAATCTAATATTAATCTAATATTAATCTAATATTAATCTAATATTAATCTAATATTAATCTAATATTAATCTAATATTAATCTAATATTAATCTAATATTAATCTAATATTAATCTAATATTAATCTAATATTAATCTAATATTAATCTAATATTAATCTAATATTAATCTAATATTAATCTAATATTAATCTAATATTAATCTAATATTAATCTAATATTAATCTAATATTAATCTAATATTAATCTAATATTAATCTAATATTAATCTAATATTAATCTAATATTAATCTAATATTAATCTAATATTAATCTAATATTAATCTAATATTAATCTAATATTAATCTAATATTAATCTAATATTAATCTAATATTAATCTAATATTAATCTAATATTAATCTAATATTAATCTAATATTAATCTAATATTAATCTAATATTAATCTAATATTAATCTAATATTAATCTAATATTAATCTAATATTAATCTAATATTAATCTAATATTAATCTAATATTAATCTAATATTAATCTAATATTAATCTAATATTAATCTAATATTAATCTAATATTAATCTAATATTAATCTAATATTAATCTAATATTAATCTAATATTAATCTAATATTAATCTAATATTAATCTAATATTAATCTAATATTAATCTAATATTAATCTAATATTAATCTAATATTAATCTAATATTAATCTAATATTAATCTAATATTAATCTAATATTAATCTAATATTAATCTAATATTAATCTAATATTAATCTAATATTAATCTAATATTAATCTAATATTAATCTAATATTAATCTAATATTAATCTAATATTAATCTAATATTAATCTAATATTAATCTAATATTAATCTAATATTAATCTAATATTAATCTAATATTAATCTAATATTAATCTAATATTAATCTAATATTAATCTAATATTAATCTAATATTAATCTAATATTAATCTAATATTAATCTAATATTAATCTAATATTAATCTAATATTAATCTAATACACAACCTTATGATACCAGGCTCCTTTAATGCTATTAAACGCCTATATAAGCCGATATTCTCCCGGGGGAGGGAAATCGGGATATTCCCTGGCTCCGGCGCCCGTGTCGGCTTAATCGGCTCCGGAGCGGCGTTCCCGAGGGCTTTAATCAAATGAGTCCGGCGGGGAAGAGGACGGAATAAATCCCTAAAAAGGAGGAAATCCCTAAAAGCGAGGCAGGGGATTAAGCGGGTTAATCCCGGCGCTACCCTCTCGCTCGCGCCGAGACCCCCCCGAGACAGGACAGCGCCGCGCGCGTTTGCTCCATTTTATTAGGACCGACACATTCAGCGCATGTCACAACTTCCACGGCTCGATGAGATGGGTTTTGGGGGGAAAAAATCAAAAAAATAAAATACGGAAAAACCTGGAAACCCCCCCAAAACGCCAGCGCGAAAACGAGCGGAGGGCTCGGAATAGTAGCAAATTCTTGACTGTCTAAGATTGCGCTGGTTTTGAGGAAGAATTCATACTGTTCAAGAGAAAAAAAAAAAAAAGGAAATATAATATATATATAAGGGGTTAAAACGCAAATGGCAGAAGGGAAAATAATAATAATAAAATAATAATAAAAAGGCCAGGAATTGTAACATTTTTTCTTAAAAAATAATAATATAATAATAAAATTTAAAAAAACGTGGATATGGCAACGCTATACGAGGGGGAGAGCGGGATACAGGGGAAACAAAACGGAAACCTAAAATTATATATATATATAATATATATAATATATACACACACATACACTGGGCAGCGAGGGGATCCGGCCTCGTTTTCATCGGAGCCGGGATCCATCCGGCCGCCGCCTATTGCTTAATTTTTTTTTTTTCCCTCCTTTTTTTGGGGTGGAAATAACACTTTTGAGACACGGACGGGTGAAAACGCAACGTGGCGGGAGGGGGAAAACCAAAGAAAAACCCCCAAAAAAGGCAGTTTTTTTTTTTCCTTCTCTCCCGTATGAAACGCAAAAAAAAAAAAAAAAAAAA